GGAAAAAAAAAAAAAAAAAAAAAAAAAAAAAAAAAAAAAACACAAAACAGTGTGCTCTGAAGATACAGACTTAAGTTCCTAGTTCCAATTCTGCCACTAACTAGTTTTGAGACCTTGGGCAAATCAATTAACCTCTCTGGCTCTCTATTTTTTATTAGAAAATCAGTGAGGTACCTTCTAGATCAGTCATGCTATGATTATAAAATTCTTACTCTAATTTCCTTAGTACCCACTCCCCTGTTTAATTTTTTTTTTTTTCCTTTTTGTCTTTTTTTTTCGTGTCGGGCAACAGATCGCAACCCTCAGTGTCGCGCCCGTACCGGACTGGGACCGGCAACGGGATCACAACCCTCGGTGTTGCTCCCACACCTCGCTCAGCCAGTGAGCGGGAACCGGTCTGTATGTGGGATCCGAACCCTCGGCGGGAGCGCCACCGCGCTCCCAAGCGGCGCACTGTAGCAGTGCACCACCGGGCCGGCCCTCCCCTGTTTAATTTTATTTACAGAGCCAAGGCAAAGAGCAGCAAACTATAGAACAGAAAATGCCTTTATTATTATTATGATGATGATGATGATGATTATGATTATTAATGTAGAAGGAAAGTCAAGAAAGTGAGAATCAAGAAAAGTTACCACCAATAAGGTCTGGTTTCAATGGAGTGGTGTGTACCAAAACCAAAGCGAACTAGATGCATTTCAACTTGAATGTATTCTAAGTACCCATGCTGGATAAAATACTATTCTACGTAAGACAATGCTGTTAAGAAGAATGAACAAAGTCAAGCTGTTTTCAAGTATTAACTAAATTAGGAAATAGGACTTCTTCATTTTAAGCAGATAAATTCCTCTCCTTATATTCCCATAAGCATAACAGCAACATTCTTACAGTCTTAATTTCATTTACGGTATTTCCTAAGCGTTCTCTCCCTCCCACTATCACCTCACTCCATTCTACACAAATCCTACCCTCACAGCCCAGCTCAACTCTACTATACCCTAAAAAGCTTTGTACAATTATTTTCTCTTTTACTGAGCTGCCAATATCTGTACTAATTAAATAACTCTATAATTTTGAATTGTTTGGTATTTGTTTCATGTGTTGAATCTCTTCCCAATTAGATGTCCAAGCACCCTGAGGTGGAGCTCTTTTATCGCTCCCACAAATAACAAGCAGATGTTCAGAGTAACCTAACACATAGTAAGGCATCTGCTATAAAAAAAAAAAGTCACTTACCTAGATCACCTGTAACTTTGTAAGATCCATTTGCAAAAATCCAGAAGAAAACTCCTCTGGCAGTTCTAATCAAAATACCGCCTCTATTTACTCTTCCTGCAATGAACACACCTCCCGTCTTGGGGGTCTCTATGTACACATCACACTGTATAGTAATATTGCTCCTGCAGAATGAAATGGTTCATTAATACTCTTAAATTATGCCATTCTTACTATAGCACAAATGTGTTACTTCATAGCCAATGTTTCCGAACTTCTAATTGAGGTGACAATGTGATTTGCTAAGTATAAGCTTATAGCAGGGATGGGCTTCAAGAATCTTCGTTGAAGACATTTTAAGTTTTACACGACTTAAGTCATTCCATCGCCTCTTTTAATGGGTTACTGCACAATAATATTTACTGCTTTTAAATTTAAGAACATATTTCTTGTCTCTCTATAGTAAAACTATTTCTTATCCTAAGAATATAATACTGCAAGAAGCCACTTTTTCTATGAATGCATAAACGGTAAAAGTTTCCACACAATTCTGAAGAAAAAGGTTTATTCAAATTTCCATCAGCAAAGAGAAGCAATGAAGGCAATCCTAGGAGCCTCTGGGAGAACACAACTACTTTGGGGCCAATTTTTATATTCAAACCTAACAAGACTTAAAAACTTTGGAAGAAAGTTCTAAAATTATTCCTCTGCAAAGACAGTAAACTCTATGCTGACTCTGCAGCAGGTCTTCTCAAACATAAGCAGCAATGAAATCAACTGAAGCTCTTGGTAAACTCAGTTCGCTGGTCCCACCCCCATGGTGTCTGATTCAGTAGGTTTGGGGTAGGCCCCCTGAATTTACATGTCTAACAAATTCCCAGGTGATGCTCATGCTGCTGTTCCAGTAGTTCGTCCCACTTTGAGAACCATTCTCCCCTGCAGAGCATCTCTGTCTATACAAAGGCAATAAAACACTGGCTCTAAGCTCATTGATCCACAAGAGTTTATCAAAGGAGGAAAAAAATTCAGACAACCAGGAACAACCAGAGCTCTTTTGCAATGAGCTCTCTTCTATTTTAAATTTCCTTTTTAAAATGCTATCTGACACAACACTTTCTTTCTGAGGTGACACAACCACCCCAAACCAACATGATCTCTGAAAATAATTCATTACTCAATATCTAACAGCAAATGGAGAGAAAAAGAAAGCCCATATACAACCCAGTAATAAAGCAAGTAATTTATCTAAAGTTAGACTGATAATGCCAAGAAATCTATTTTGGAAATGGGGTGAGGAAAGGAAACTGTATCTAGAATTATGTGACTTTCATGTGTGTCAGTTTCTTCTTAGAAAATTTTGCACAGTGGGGTTTTAATGCATAAAGGAAAATACAAAAAAGAAGCACCTATGACAGGTACACAATCAAGAAGATCCACATTTAATTATCTAATCAGAGCTGGGCTACTTTACAGGAAGATCAAATGCTAAGTAACTAAAGCCCAGTCTCTCTGGGCATGGGGGATGGGGCTGTCACAGAAAAGTTAAGGGTTTCCTATAGTGGCTGACTTCCAAGCTGGTTACCTAAATAACAGGGCGCATGCCTTGGAAAATTAAACCCAGTGAACTGTCTTACAGTAAATAAGACCATTAGTCACAAATGAGGAAGTCACAAACTCCACTGCCATGATCAGAAAATCCAGGTGATGTGTCAATCACAGAGACAATAGGATAAACAGCATTTCTGTTGTATAAAAAGAGAAGCCACCAAAGTCTTCCTAAATTAGGCAAGATTTCTTCACTGTACCTTAATAACTCTCCATGGTGCTGTAAGAGTTCCAGAGACTCTAGATAAACTGAAAGTTTCTTGAGCCTTAGGAACAACACTTTCTTTCTGGAGTGATACAACCACGCCAAACAAAGATGATCTCTAAAAATAATTCACTTCCTACTCAACATCTAATTGCAAATGGAAAGAGACTTAATAGAATCAAAATTCAAAACTGGGAGTAAGTAAGGTAACACAGAAGGAATACAGACTTTCTGCAGCATTCCACAGATGAGCATTTCAAGGCTCTTTTCAGAATCATCTTCTCTTCCCTGTCCAATTTCCAAAATTCAGACATGGCTGTTTGGTGGTTTGGCATTACTATTTACAGTCTCTAAACCTGGAATACGTGTGTGTGTGTGTGTGTGTGTGTGTGTGTGTGTGTGTGTGTGTGTGTGTGTGTTTCCCACAGTGGAATTATACTTGTTATAAGAAAAAACAGAAAAGAAACACCTAAAACAGGTATAATAATAACTCAGCACACTGAAATTCCATAACTAAATTAAAGGGGAAGGGGAAGTTTTGGTTTGGTCTTATATTTAAGGGAATAAGAAATATAACTTGTCTCTGTACCAGATACCTCAAGAAAGGAATTGAATTCACTAGGCAACTAATGCTGATTCACTTTTTACTACTGCCATCTACTGTCACCTGATAAACAGATTTCCCACGAAGCCTATGACAGTGTAATTCTACTATTGATCAAGCAGGTGGCAACACCAGATCAACAAATCCACTCTCCAGCAAAACAAAAACTTAAGAGCAACATGTAAAACATTAAGTCCATTTATAAATATTAAATTATAACTGGGTCCAGAGTCCTCAATTTTTATTTTAAAATAAAACCACACCTGCAATAATCACTATTAAACCAAGCAAATATGAGGGAAGGACACTGAGAAAATAATTTGTTGATTTGTGGTTGGCACAATTTTCAATTAGTACACACCTGTTAGATTCTTGGACAAAGAGGACCATAAAAAACAGTTTGCTTCAGAATGTCCCTGATAGTATTACAAGGTTACTTCAGAAAAATCTACACTGAGGACATAAATTTTACATACCATTTGTAATCTCCTATAATACTGATAGTGTTGGATGCATCAGCAGCCCAAGTAATAGGTCGTTGATTGAGAACTTGGCGTAGCGTGAAACGATGCTCTCCAGGGTCTTCAATATTTGTAAAGTATTCAAATACACCAGTCTGATCAGCAAAATATGGAGCTTCACTAAAAACTGGGTAGTCTGTTCAGAACACAATAAATTCTCTGTTTAGTATCAAACCTTTTGGAATCTCTTCTCTCTGGTATTTTATGGTACATTTTGAAACACTTAAAAATTTTTAAATAAACAAATAATGCTTATATCCAAAGTTTAGGGTTTTGGTCTAATAAAGAGATGTTGATTTTCATATCATCATTATTAAATATAAAAATGATGAGTTTGACATACAGACTCTGCCTAATATTAAATCCATGCATTTGGTGAGAAGGAAAGGTTCTGAGTTTTTTAGTAACTCAGACCTAGGTTCAAATTCTAGCTCAGTCAGTCAAATTATTTAACCGTCACACATCTCAAGTTTCCTCATTTCTAGGTGGGCAAGAAGAAAGGAGAATTAAATCAGAAAATGTATACAATGCATGCACATAAGCCAACACCTAGCAAAGGGCTCAGTAAGAAATAGTTTTATTTCTAATATCTGTTGAACAAGGTTCCAAATCATTGGTCACAGTCATCAGTTGAAAGAACATTAGAAAAGAATTTATAAATTTTCTTCTACTTCTAAAATGGAGCAAAACCAGTTTGGAGCCTAAGCTATCAATCCCTTTATAGCTTTATTAAATTAAATTATAGTTCACAATGATGAAGGCTTAAAGAGTAATTTTAGTCCTAATGTCTTACGGCTATTTCCACTTCATGCTTTTTCCAACTGTTTTCACAGTCATTACCTCGTTTGAGATATTAAGAACCCTGACAAGTAGTTCTAAAGACTGGGATAGTTTTTAACTTTAGATTTTAGTTTATTTTGTAGCCAGTAAAGCAATACATTTTAGATTTGAAGGTTTAGAGTTGCTTCTCAGTATTCAGGATAACAGAATAAACAGTTGTATTGGCAGAAGCTCTTCAAGATCATTAACTAGGCCATATCCCACACAGATTCCTCAAATACTGACGGCAAAAGAGTTACCTCTGCCAACAGAGAACTGAGTGACAGACTGCTAAAACACGTGTGTTTGGCAAAATAAATGGATTCATCTAGGGGACCATTTCAAAGAGTTGCAAAAAAGTAAACCACCAAACTCCCCTGAGAGTCACTGTTATCTGTATTATCCAAATAGTTGAGTGGACTCCAGTACACAGTCCAAAGGGCCTCATACTCCAATCAACTAGATAATTTCCTGGGAAGCAGAGCAGAGACCCTATGGCAAGGACCAGCAGTGGTTGGTGAGAGTACCCATCTTTGGTGGACCAAGCAGCCCTGCAGCCAACAGGGGGTACAAGTCACTCTCTAGCAATGCCATTTCCATCACTATTACTCTCCTACAGCAAATGATTCTAGGAACTGATTATAGAACCACCTGACCCTGTATGTGAGGCCCATAATCTTATACACCACCACCTAGTAGTTAACAAATTTCATTGCTAACTGAGGAATATTACCACAGTGAACATATTTTCTAACTTTTATTTGAATTGCTTTCCTACATTAACTATAACTGTAAGCTTTTCTAACAGCTTTAGAACAGATCTTCCTGGAACACCAGGTGAGCTCTAATATAAAACTCTTAGACACAGCTAAAGAGTATATGATGTGTTGGATTACCCAAGGACAGTATAACTTCCCATATGCACTCAGGTCACTAGCATCATGAAAAGACATATGAATGTGCCTTAACTTCCACACAAAAGGAAGATGTCAGTAGAGGATTACAGAGCAGTAGCAAATTGCAAATCTAATGTTTCACCAAAAATAAGTTAGAACTTTAACCTTCATTCTGAAATTGACCTCTACATTTTTCTGGCACTGAAAAATAGAAGGTCTTCAAGTTGAGGTTTACCTTGAAGTAATATAAAAATTATGTCTCCTTTTACCATGTAGAGATTTGAGAGCTAAATGAATGTGCTTTTTGATAGCCACTCCATCATACACTAGTTTGATAGGTAGATATCGACCTTCTACTGCTAAAGATAGGAACCAAGTTAAGTTTTAGTGAAAAAGACTTACCAACATTGAAATCATCTTTATAGGTATGTGGGAAAGGCTGGGATTTTGGAGAAAGTGGGTAGCTGCCTTTGTGACCTGTTGTGAGAGTAGTGAGTGTGAACAGCTCATCCTCTTGCAGTTCCAGTGTAAAACTGCCACCACTGTCAAGGAGCTGAAAAAGAAGGCATCGCTGTATTCAAGGCTCAGCTCATTTGGAAAAAACAGCTTTAAAAAAATAAGCTTAAAGACAAGCCCAACTCATTTCTATTAGAACTTCCTAATCACTTGTGAAAGACACACCAATGCCAAGGCCCTTGGAATCTTTTCTCTTAAGTATTTCATTTTTTTTTTTTTAATTTATTTATTTATTTTTTCATCTTTATAGGTATGTGGGAAAGGCTGGGATTTTGGAGAAAGTGGGTAGCTGCCTTTGTGACCTGTTGTGAGAGTAGTGAGTGTGAACAGCTCATCCTCTTGCAGTTCCAGTGTAAAACTGCCACCACTGTCAAGGAGCTGAAAAAGAAGGCATCGCTGTATTCAAGGCTCAGCTCATTTGGAAAAAACAGCTTTAAAAAAATAAGCTTAAAGACAAGCCCAACTCATTTCTATTAGAACTTCCTAATCACTTGTGAAAGACACACCAATGCCAAGGCCCTTGGAATCTTTTCTCTTAAGTATTTCAGAACACCTTATGAAGTTATATTTTATAAAAAGGATCTTTAAAAATTTTCACTTCATGGAAGGAAGAAGGACTAGACGATCCCAAAATCTATTTCTGTTAGTCTATTCTTTTCTATTACACTGTAAGCTCGTTAAAGCTTGTGTATATTCAATAGATGCAACTAAGAGACCTGCTTATTTCTCTTTTAGGGCTTTACTAAGGTAGAAAAATTCATAAGAATCTCACTGTTGACTCAGCTGTTAATCACAGAAAATATTTCACAATTAAGAAAAAAAAATCCTGCTCGTTATATGTTCAATATATATTTCAATTAGCAAGTTAGGTTTATGTCACGTTTATGATCTAGGCAACTTAATCTCTTTAAGCCACAATCTCCTCATCTACAAAACGAGGGAAAGAAAAAACACAACTCATAGGGCTGTTTTAAGAATTAAACCTGAGGTTTATAAAGTATTCAGCTGAATGTGAGGTCAACAGGAAACACTCCCTATATCATAGCTATTCTATGCTAAATGTAGACCTCTTAAGACATTGGAATCCCTTGCATAATTAATGTAGGCACTAAATTTATACCCATTTTATGAAACTTTGAGCAGTTTTTTTTCTACTTTGAATTAGTTTATATTATATCTTTGCTTTAATAATAGTAAATTGTCAGTCATATCTATGAAATATCTGATGCCATATTCTGGCTCAGGAATAACCCAAAATGATATTATCTTTCCTGTGGGGAAATCAATTTTATTTCTAGCAATTTTGCTATACAAAAAGCAAAGACTGCCTTTTTTTTAGAATTTAATATATGATGGGTATTCAATTAGCAGTGACTAGTTAATTATCAGAAAAAGCAGCAGATTTGTGTCAAGTAGGTGAAGCAATGTGCTTGCTTCAGCCAATTCATTCTCTGAAACCTTTCCTGAGAAACCACCCTGTACTAAGCACTGTAGTAGGCATCTAGGATATAACGCTAAATAAGGCAGAGCCCCAATCCTCAATGCATCTCATGTAGTGGGAAAAGTGTTTAACTAGGTAACCGTATAGTCTTAGGTGGCTATTACCTAAGAATGCTGGGAAAAATTTCAGAGGAAGTGACACTTGAGCTGAGTCTTGAAAGATGACAAAAATATGAGAAGTCATTCTAGGAGGAATAAAAAGCATGTGCAAAGTCACAGAGGTAAATAACAGGCATGCATGCCATGCTTTGACAAAGGCAGGTTTAGTCTGTGAGGATAGGCCAGCTTAGCAACATAGGCATCTAGGAAGGAAAGCAGTCTTCTACCTCATGAGGGGATATTGAGGGTCATGTGCTATGCTAAAGAATGCGAGCTTACAGGGAAAAATCACTGAGGTACTCTGAGCAAAGTACTGACAAAAATCAGATAGGCATTTGAGATACACCACTCTGGTGGGTGACGTGGAGAGAGTCAGACTGGAGGCTGGAGAAACAGGTGGTAGTTTTCAAAATCCAAGAGAGCAATAATGAGGAACTGAAATAAGCAGTAGCAGTAAGAATGGAGAATAAGGGAGACACAGGAGAAATACGTGATGACAGAATTGTCTCCCCTTGATCACTGGTGGGATACAAAGGATGAGTGGGAAAGAGAGAGTCTGGAATGAGACATGGATTTCTGACTTAGCCAGCCAGGTGATGGCAGGACCAACCACCAAAACAAATGAAGTATCTAAGAGCAAAATATTTCTATAAACACACAAACTTCTGTACAGCCTTGGAAAGGATCTCTTTTTTAAAAAAGTTGGGAACAACTAACTCTATTATACTTCAGCCACAAAATCAACTATAAAATTAAAAATTCTTAATTCATTAATCAAATTTCTATTTCCTATTACTGTCTCACTGTTGCAATGCCCAAAATATAGGAATTTATTTTAAAACTACCCATAGAGAATCCAGTTGTTTAAAAAGAAATCTCTCAGATGCTTTTCCAAGTTTGGTATGCCACACCTGTAACTCTGGTATTCCACTCTGGGGAAAAAACACAAAAAAGCAAAGTTGAGTGATTCATCATATCCTCTTTGAGGATTTCAAAAATCAGTACCAGCAAGAATGAACCAATGACAATGTGCATCTACTCTACTTCTATTTACCAAAATACACAGCTCAAATTTTAAACAGTAACATTTTTTAAAATAGAAGACCTTATTCAAGCAAACACATTATTTCCTATAAACACTAAAGAATTTTGGCAAACATTAAAAAAGGAGTTAATGATTTTGCTTCAAAAATGCTCATTATTGTACCTATGTAAAAAGCCTTTTAAGAATTCTCTAGTATTAAAAGATAATTCTTATGCCATTAATAATCAGAAAGGGCACTGCATTTTCTCAATTCAACTCTGAAAGTAAGTAGAAATAGCAAAAATTTGGGGTTTTCTGTCTGTGGTATTTTGTTTTCTGGGTTTTTGTTTTGCTTTGTTTTGCTTTTTGGTGTACTGTACTGTAAAGATCAAAGCTTTAAAGTTCCCTAGACCACACAATTGATACTTCAACTACCAAGAACAACTTTCTTGCAAGTGACTTTTATAAGTGTTCCTTAAAACCACAGAGAACTTTAGCTCCTGTGGACTTCTGTCCTCTTTGACTAAAACCAGTCAGGAGACAAAAGACATCAAGGCATTTGTCTATTCATATGCAAACTATTAATAGTTCATAATATAAGACTTCACTTAAGAACTGCTGGTCTGTGATAGAATACATAAATTCTCAAATCAAACCAAAATAATATCACACATATTTACTTACAAAAGATCCCTTAAGAATAAATGTAGCAAATTGATGTGACACATTGAAATAAGGGAGAAGTGGCCGTATACACTTAGAGTGTTTATGACTCTAAGGAAAAAAAACAAAAACATATGTTATCCAAATGATGCACAAGTTTTCTTATGGGGAAAAATAAGTTAAATACTTAATGCCCCAAGATTAACAGAAATGGCACACATTAAGTAACTAATATGAGTTTATTTCAAATTTTAAAGTCTTTCTTTCAATATAACCTTTATTGAGTGTATATTATGTGTACCTAGTCAAAGCCAAGCTCAACAGCATTTCAACTGAACCAAACTTTGAATTCATAGCTAAACTCCGGAGACATTTATGGCACACATAGATTAATTTTTGTTATAACTATTTCCCAAGTAAAATACAACAAATAAAAAGCGAAAGCTTGGATGTTTTCACTGAAAGGCATCTCATCTAAATATAACTTTTAAATACACACTAAGGTCAGCTAAATATATATAATAAACAGTTCTCAATTGCCATCTTTTTTACTGAATAGTCACTACTATGGGCTGGGATCAAAAGAGGCATGAGATATAATCCCTATTTTGGGGATTCAAAAATCACACCGCACTTACAAGTGCAAGGTTCTGTCCCAAGCTTTGTAGATGATAAAAAAAAAAAAACTGCAATCATAATCACAGATTTCAATACCCCACTCTCAGTAATTGATACTACAACTACACAGAAAATCATCCAGGATACAGAAAATTTTAACCAAGTGACTTGCCTTGATATCTACAGATCATTCCATCCAGAAGAAGAAGAATGCACATTCTTTTTAAGTGCACGTGGAACACTGACCTAGGTACACCATATTATTATCCATAAAAGAAGTAATGAATTTAATGAATATTTTTAATGAATTCAAAAAATTCAAGTCACACAAAGTATGTTTTTTAACTACAATCAAATTAAGTCAGAAATGAATAACAGAAAAACCTCTAGAAAATTACAGAAACTAAATAATAAATTTCTAAATAGTCCATGGTCAAGGAAAAAAGAAAAATTAGAAAGAATTTTGAGATGTATGAAAATGAAGATACAGCATACCAGGATTTGTGGTATGCCACTAAAGCAGTACTTAGGAGAAAATTTACAGCACTAAAAACATAGATTAGAAAAGAGAAAAGGATTTGAAACTTCAGCTTCTATCTTAATATACTAGAAAAAGAAAAGCAAATTAAAACCAAAATAAGCAGAAGAAAAAATAAATAAACAAAGATCAAAAGAGAATCAAACAAAAAACAAACCAAGAAAAAACAAGAACAATCAAGAAAACCAAAGACTGTTATTCTGTTATTCATTTCTGACTTAAATTGATATCTACAGATCATTCTATCCAGCAATAGAAAAATGCACATTATTTTCAAGTGCACGTGGAACAATGACCAAGGTACACCATATTATCATCCATATGTTCAAAGAACTAAAAATAAACACATATAAAGATCTAAAGGAGAGTTATATTTCTGTAATGACAATATGAAGAGCTCCATGGATCTGCTTCTCAGCAAAACTGGTGAAAATTATTTTTTGAAACATTAAAGTCTCTGGAAATGGTCCTATGGGCACACAGCAAATAAACATTTATTCAGAAAATCTACTAAAACTCAGTAAGAACAGTAAAAGTCTGTAGCATGTTAACCACAATCTACTCCCTCCCTTCTCCTCTAGCCTAGAGTAACAGAAACTCTATGCCAAGCTGGTGCAGCCAATTCAGGGCTCCCTTTCTCCCACCTCACAGTTGAAGGCTATAGGTTCTTCCTGAAAGATGAACGACATCTAATTTCTCATTCCCCTTCCCCTCAGCTCCCTGCAGTAGAGGCTACGTAGCAGCAAGTGTAGCCAAGAGGCCAGGAGCTCCCTTCCTCCACCCTACCCCCAACTGTGTTATGAATACTCACCTTAGGCAGGGATCATTGAGAATATTGGTGTCCCCATCATCCCCACCCTGGCTAGTGGAATGGAAATTCCATGTGAGGAGAGACAAGCTGAAAAGACCAGGAGCTACACACCTCCCAGCACCCTGCTTCTAAGTCAGGGGTGTCACTAAAAGAGAAGCAGCATGCTCTGGTTCCCACTCCTAGCTACAAACCTTGGCTCAGAGATTTTTTTGCCCAAGGGGAGGGGCAGGCCATGAAATAGCTCCAAAACTCTTCCCAAAGGAATTGATTATATTTGATGCAGAGCATGGGGAAATTCAAGACTAAGGTTGTTCTAAAAATAATGGAGGATTTGATGGAAAGTAAACGACAGACTGGTGGCTTCATTAAAGGCATAAGCTAAACCACAACCCCATTAGTATGCCAAAGAGACCAAGAAAATGACAGCTAAAAAGAACCCTCCTGGGGTTAGAACAAACCTAAGACACTAACCTCAAACCATCCCTGCAAATGAGCTGGAATTTAATTGGATCAGTCTGTGGAGCAATTTAAACCCCAGGGTATTACTGAAAACAACAGAGCAACCCATCAGCAATTTGGAGAACTTAACAGAGAAGTGTGATCAAGGAAAGAGACAGAGTTCTAGGAAAAATAATCTTGAAAGCAGTAGGAGAAAAACAACTTTTCACTTACAAGGGGAACTCGATAAGATTAACAGTTGATTTATCATCTGAAACAATGGAGGAATAGCATATTCAAAGTGCTCAGAGAAAAAAATTGTCAACTAAGAATCCTATTTCCATCAAAACTATCTTTCAAAAATGAAGGCAAGGGCTGGCCAGGTAGCTCAGTTGGTTAGAGCATAGCATTGTAACACCAAGGTCAAGGGTTTAGATCCCCATACTGGCCAGCTGTTTAAAAAAAAAAAAAGGAGGCAAAATAAAGACAAAACCAAGAGAATCTGTTGACAGCAGACACAACTTTCACAAAACACTGAATGAAGTAGTACTTGAAGGGAAAGCAAATGACCCCAGACAGTAATTCAAACCCACAAACAAAAAGTACTGGTAAAGGTAATTATGTAACTATAACAGTCAGTAAAAATGCATATTCCTTCTCCTTTCTTCTCATAATTGATTTTAAAATCAATTTATAAAACAATATGTATATAATTGTATTGTTGGGTTTACAATAATTGCCCATAACCACAACCAAGAAGCCAGGTGGAAGTAAAGCTATATTTGGAATAAGGAAATGATGCCAGATGGTAACTCAAATCCACAGAAACAAATGAAAAGAACCAAAAATGACAAAAAGATTAACATAAGAAACACTATAAATATATACTTGCTCTCCTTTCTTCTCTTAGCTTTTTTAAAACATATAAATTTATATATAAATAATTAGAAAAATGTCCTGTTAGGTTTGTAACACATAAAAGTGTGATATTAACAGTTCATTTGTCATCCAAAGGCAAAGGGAATAGAGCAATACAGGAGTAATATTTCCATATCTCACTGGAATTCAGTTAGCTTACAACTGAAGTGATTCTCATATGTTAAGATGTATATGGTAAACCCTGGAACAATCACTAAGGAAATAACTGACAAAAATGTAGTAAAAAAATAATTCTAAAGGAATTAAAATGTTACAACAGAAAACAGTCACTTAATGCAAAAGAAAACAGTAAGGGAGGAATAGAAAAACAAAAAAAGAGATGAGACATAGAAAACAAAAAGGAAGATGGCAGACATAAATCCAACTATATCAATATTAACATTAAAAGTGAATGGGTTAAACATCTACTAAAAAAGTCAGACTGCATAAAAAAGCAAGATGTAACTACATACTGTTGAAAAGAAACACACTTTGATTCAAAGATACAAACAAATTAAATGTTAAAAGAGGAGAAAAGATATATCATATTAACAGAAACCACAAGAAAGTTTTAATGACTAGAATAATAACAGACAAAATAGACTTTAAAACAAAAAGAAAATGTCCATAGAGACAGAGACATTTTATAATGATAGAAAGGTCGATCCATCAAAAACATATAACAATTATATATACACCTAACAAGAAAGTGTCAGGATATATGAAACAAAAACTGACAGAATTAGGGGAAAGAGAACAGACAATTCAACAACAATAGTTGACAACTCTCATTAGCCACTATTAATAACATGAAACAACAAGGAAATAGAAGTGAACAATGCTATAAACCAACTAGGCCTAACAAACATCTATACAGTATTCCACTCAACAACAAAATAACATACATTCTTCTGAAGTACACATTCTCTAGGATAGACCAGATGTCAGGCAATAAAATAAAACTCAATACATTTAAAAGGACTGAAATCATACATGTTCACTAATCACAATGGAATGAAATGAAAAATCAATAAAAAAAAAAATTGGCAAAACTCACAGAAATGTGGAAATTAAACAATACCCTGCTAAAAAACCAATGGATCAAAGAAGAAATCACAAGGGAAATTAGAAAATACCTTGAGCCGAATAAAGGTGAAGACATAACAAAACTTACAGTATATGCTACAGTACTGCTTATAGAGTGATTTATACCTATAAATGCCTATATTAAAAAAGCAATATCTCAAAGTAATAACCTAACCTTCCTCCTTAAGAAACCAAAAAGTTTTTAGAAGAGCAAACTAACCCAAAGGAAATAGAAGGAAGGGAATAATAAACATTACAGTGAAAACTATTGAAATAGAGAAAACAACAATAGAGAAAATCAACAAAAGCAAACATTGTTTCTTTGAAAAGATGAACAAAATTGAACAGACCTTTAGGTAGACCGACTAAGAAAAAAAGAAGACTCAGATTATTAAAATTAGGAATGAAAGAGGGACATTTCTCTCAACCTTACACAAATAAAAAGGGAATACTATTAACAATTATATGCAAATAAATTAGATAACATAGATTAAAAAGATATATTTATAGAAAAACACAAACTACCAAATATACTGCAGTAATATAAAGTCTGAGTAGACCTATAACAAGTAAACAGATCGAATCAGATTATCCTAAAAGAAAATCTCAGGACCAGATGGCTTCACTGATGAGTTTTACAAAACACTTAAAAGAATCAATACCAATCCTTCACGAATTCTTTAAAGAAACATTTCCCAACTC